TTGTATGTACACCATTTTTATCATTTTAAAAGCTGCCACAAATTATTCAAATATATGCATACTCTTATGAGAGATAACTTAAAATATCAATCTAAAAAGTCCTTTCTTTAGGAATTTTTTCTTCGAACCTATTAAAAGGGCAGAGGTATCACTCTAAAATTTACATTCAAAAACTGGTTTGTAATTGGGCGTAATGATGCACGCCTTTGATCCCAACACTAGGAGGCAGAGGCAGAGGCAGAGGGGTCTCTGTGAGTCTGAGGCCAGCTCACATGGTGAGTGCCAGAACAGTCAAAGCTAAATAGTGAGACCTGTCTCAAAAAAACAAACAAACAAAAAATGGTTTGTGAGCTGGAAAGATGGTTGCTCTTCCAGAGGATCTAGGTTCAATTCCCAGAATCTATATGGTGGCTCAAAGCTGTCTGTAATAACTCCAGTCCCAAGGAGTTCCAATGTCTTCATCTGGCTTCTGTTGGGCATTGCACACAGATACATACAAACAAAACACTCATGAATGTAAAATAATGTTAAAAAAAAATAGGGGGCTGGAGAGATGGCTCAGTGGTTAAGAGCTCTTCCAAAGGTCCTGAGTTCAATTCCCAGCAACCACATGGTGGCTCACAACCATCTGTAAAGAGGTCTGGTGCCCTCTTCTGGCCTGCAGACATGCACACAGAATATTTTATACATAATAAATAAATAAACAAACAAACTGGTTTGTAAGAAGAGATAGCTTATTTAGTGGTTAAGAGCATGGACTACTCTTACAGAGGACTTGAATTCAGATCCTAGAATCCACAATTAGAACTGCCTTCCAGTTCTAGGGATTCTAAAAGAACCACAAATTTAGCATACAGGCACACATATACATATAAATAAAAGTAAATCTTTAAAAGATAATTTAAATTGACTTATATGGGTTTTGTTTGAGACAGGTTCTCATGTAGCTGTAGCTCAGGCTAGCTCTGCTATGAAACTGGGGTTGGCTCCTGATTCTTCTGACTCATTCTCCTAACTCACTGAATTTACCTAGCTCTAAGAAATTTTTAACCTGATCTCTATTATCAAATGCAAGTTCTGACTCCTCTAGTCAAGGATTTATGTGGAGAAGGAAGAGATTCAATAACCCTGAAGAAATACAAAACAGATATTCTCAATATTTAAAACCATACATAATAGTTAGATCTGGTGGCATTGACCTTTTAATACTGAGGCTGAAGCAGAAGTATTAAAAGTTTTAAGTCCAGTGTGGTGGCCTAGGCACTTGGGAATCCCAGCACTTGCAAAGCAGAGGTAGGTGGATCTCCTACCTCTGTTTTAGGACATTCAGGACAGCCGGGGCTTCACAGTGAGACGATCTCAAAAAAACAAAACAAACAAAAAACCAAGAGAGAAGAAAAGAAAAAACAACAACAACAAAAAACCCCAAAAAGTTTAATCCCTACTAAAGAGCAAGTTCAAAATTAGCCTGAGCAATTTAGTAAGCCCCTATCTCAAATCTTACAAAGAGATGCTAGGGGTGTAATTAGCGAATACTGCTAGCATATGCAAGGCCCTGGGTTTAATCCCCAGCGCCACTAAACAAATAACTAAATGATGGTATTCACTAAGATAATATAATTTTTGTATTTAAAAAAAAACGTATGGAGACTGGTGAGATGGCTCAGCAGTTGCAAACAAGCACATCTAGCCCAACCACCTCAGTTCAAACCCCAGAACTCATAATAGTAGAGAGAATTGACTTCCACAAAATGCCTACAACATCCAGAGGAATATTATTGCACACACATGCATTATGTATGCACACAGAATAATCGTAATAATAATAAATAAGATTAGGAGAAAAAAAGAAAAATTTACTAATAGTAATAGTCCTATCCCCTCCTCAAACTACAGGACCTTTCAATGTAACCAGCAAAGACAATACTGGGTCTTTTATTTCTCATTTCTTACATTCTGCCCCAAATGGGGAAGAAGACAATCTCCACTTCCAACTATGTAACAACTAATTAATTGTCTCTTAAATAATTTAGGAAATATGAAAATTAGGATTTTATTATTATTCATCAAATACTTCATAGGTTAGTAATTTTCTAAGAATATTATGTTATCCCTTTCAAAGCAACAAGATAGCTCATAAAAGAGAAAATAGAAAAGGTAAATAACTTACTTAAGCAAACAGTTCATTTCATTCACAAAAACAGACTATAGAACCTGCAACTTACTGCTGGTATGAAATATTTCAGGAATTTCTTTTCTGAAAGAAAAGAAAAACCACAAAAATAGCTTTTCTTTTCCACAGGCTAAGAATCTACATGTACATTGAACCCCACCCTATCTCCCCAAAAAAAGCTCTGTAAGCTCAGAGGATTACATTCCAAAGCTAAAGTTTTTTTTTTCTTTCTGTTGTTGATGTTGTTTTTAAAAGAAAACAAAAAGAAGGAAAGCCAGCCAGCCAATCAGACATAATGGAGGAACAGACAGAAGACTGCCTAGCACACACACAAGTCCAGCCTGGGTTACAATGTATAACCCTGCCCAAACAGAGAAAAAGATCTGAATATACACTCATACCCAAATTCATTTTGGGGGTGGCACAGAATATATAAGTAAACAGGAGAATAAGAATAGGTGTTCTGGCCAGGCATAGTGGCGCACACCTTTAATCCCAGCATTTGGGAAGCAGAGGCAGGTGGATCTCAGTGAGTTTGAGGCCAGTCTGGTCTACAAAGCGAGTTCCAGGACAGCCAGGGCTGTCAACAGAGAAACCCTGTCTTGAAAAACAAACAAACAAACAAAAAAAAACAAAAACAAAGAATAGGTGTTCTGAGGCTGAAAAGATGGCTCAGTGGTTAAGAGCACTGACTGCTCAGTTCAATTCCCAGCACCCACATGGTGGCTCAACAGCTGTAAATCCAGTTTCAGGGACATGACACCCTCTTCTGTACTCCTTGGGCATCAGGCACTCACGTGGTTCACACTATATAGGCAAAACACTATTACATATAAGACCAAATTTTATTTTTAAGTATGAAGCTAGGCATGGCAGCACATACACTCAATCCCAGTACTTGGAAGGCAGAAGCAGGCTGACCTCTATGAATTCAAGGCCAACCTGTCCAGGCCGGCCAGAGCTACACAATAAGACCCTGCCTCAAAAATATGAAACAGAGACAAAGGGAGAACCGACCTTACCTCAAAAATAAACAAAGTGGTGAAAATGTATAGATTTTACCCATAGCTTTAACACATTGTATGAAATGTGTGTTTGTATGTGTGTGTGACAGAAACAAACACTGAGACAGGAATTTGACTTGGAAGTTCACTAGCACTTTTTATCTGTGAAGAAATTTAAACACTATTCATTAAAAAGCAAATCAGTAACTTCTAATCTCATTCATACCAATTATGTCAAAGTGGCCCCCAAAATCAAGGAGACTACCTTCCTGTAACATTTAGAACAAAACCAACCTTTTCAGTCTTCCTTTCAAGTTACAAAGAAAAATGAAACAAAACTTTAGAATCTAAAGTTACTCACTGCGTTATTTCCTAGCTAAACATACATGTATTCTGAGTTTAGCTCAAGTTTGACTGAATGGATAAAGTCTTCCACAAATCCAAAATCAAGGGAGCTACAGACTCTCGCAATGATCAACTACCCAAGTAAAATTCTTCTCTCATCTTGACTTAGAATTTATTTCCCTACAGAGAAATTCAAAAATATGGATAGATAACATACATAGCTTTTTTCCCAAAGTAAAATGTTGAGTCCAAATAAACTCCTGTTTAGACCTAGAAACAACAGTGTTTAATTGTACTTTGCAGTAACTTCTTATTCTTCTCAAATGCACAAGCCAGGATTATGGTACACAGAAATTCCTGTACTTTAACACCAGGACCAGAGGTTAAAGTCACAAGGGATGAACCAGGCCTCACATAGGCCCAACAAAGAAATACTTGGCTAGGCATGGTGGTGCACACCTGTAATTCAGCACTGAGGAGATACAGGCACCGGCCCAGTCTACATACCAACTCACAGGCTAAATTAAAACATCCAATAAATCATAGTCAGAATTTAAAAAAGTAATAATTCTGGGCACTTAAAACATCACAGTACAGCACTCTCTTGACCACTGCCAAAAAAAAGAGTAACATACATGTATATGCATGCGATAAAGTGTGCAGACAGCTACAACTATGTGTTTGTCACCTTTTCCTCCGAGAGACCAAAGGCAGTATCTACAATCCTAAGTTGCTCTCACCCGAAATGAGCACACGGGAATATACACATGTGCTAAAAGAAATGAAAGCTCGACTTATTTTCTTCACAACAAAAGATGTCTGTAGGATACCTCACCTTCTCCCAGGCTGAAAACCTCAGCGTTCGACTATCCAGCTATCCCAAAGCTCAAAGATGCCTTGAAACTTCCTTTTCCTGCCTAACTTCACAAAACGTCCAAGAGCCAGTCACGTGACTCCTTTTCAGCGTGAAAGCTGAGAACTTAATACTCACCTGCCCCAAACTACAGAGAAAAGAAGAAGCGCTCTACTTAAATGCACAGGCAAAGCACCAGGGAGGCAGAGGACCAGCAAGGAGGGCTCCCTGAGCTGCCCGCGTCCGCCCGTCAGTTTCTCCGGCTCCCTCAGTACCAAGGGCAGGGACTCGGGCTCCAAAGACCCCGCCCTCCCCCATCTCCAACCCGGGGTGGGCGGGAGGCAGCGTGCGGAGTCCGGGTTCCCGCGCGAAGCTCGCCGAGCCAAGAACTCCCCTATTGTGGGTCGACAGGCGCTGACGGGAACCCGTCCCGCTCCAGACGCGCGCCGGAGAGCAAGCAAGAGCGCTCGCTAGGCCCGCGCCCGCTGCCACCGCCGTCGTACAGGCGACCGCTGTCAGCCAGCACTGCACCCGGGAGGCGGGAGAGCGGAGCCGCCGGCTGCCGGCCCAAAGAATCGCCCGGCTCCCGCACGCGATGTTAGAGACAAGGGTCCTGGAGCTATACCTCGGACACCTCGTCCTCGTCGCTCCCAGAGGCGCCGCCGCCGCCCGTCCTCAGCACGGCAGCCGCCAACTTGAAATCCAGCGCAGCGTCCCCTCCGCCCGTGCCGCCGCTGCCGCCGCCACCGACTCCCTGCGCGGGCCCAGCCTCCCCAAAGAGCCTCACGGTGCGGATTCCCAGCCCGACCCCTCCCGGCGGAGGAGGCTCCGAGGCCCCAGCTGGGGCGGATCGCGGAGCTACGGAGTCCAAATCCTCCTCGAAGGAGGTGCCGCCACCCCCGCTGTCCGTCAGCATGGTTCGCACGCGGAGCCGGGGACACCGCCGCCGCCGAATCACTCGCGGCCACCGCCGCGGCGGATCCCAGGAAGGTGAGGAGCAGCAGGAGGAAGAAGCGTCTCCGTCTCCCCCCCCCTCCCGTCCCAGCAGCGCCACTAACTTCTCACTGCCTAACCTGCTGCCTCCCGCCCCTGCGACTCATCACTGGTCGCGACTCCCAGGCGCCCGCGAACCATTGGCCACAGCAAGCTGTCGCTCACGCTCGCCGTCACGCGCTGCTAGCTGGCTCTCGGCCCCCAAGCTGCGTTGACCCGCGCAGGCCTAGGCGGTTGTGAACGCCCGCCTCCTCCGCCTCCCGCACCGACTTCCGGTCTTCGCCTCTGCCCATTGGCCGGCCTCCATGACTAGCGACTCACGACCTTAAAGCGGATTAGTCGGCCCGGCGGTCACTCAGGGGGAACCCTAACAATGGGGAACTCAATTGGTGCCAGGGACTGTCGATCATTTTGTCACGGGACGTCGCGTGGTACAATTGGCCTGTGGGGAGCTTGTTCGTCCCGCCCCCATCTGAGGTGACGGGAAAGGGCCGGGGAATTTCCATCGCTCGTTAAAAGGAGGGCTGAAGTGAAACCCCGCAAGAATGAACAAAATACGAAGTAAACCTAACCCTTGGCTCGGAGAGTCTTGTGCGTCCGCGGTGCAGGAGGCGTCGAGGTAACAAAGTAGCTCCCACCTGTCGCTCTCCCTCGGGCGCCGCGGCCGCGGCCGGAAGTAGCTGCGCGGGGATTGGCGGAAAGAAGCAGTCAGTCTCCGCGCAGCCCCGTCTTCCTGCCATTTCCCGGTTGGAGGCCCTCGACGTCAGTCACCGCGGCAGGCTCCGCCTCTGGGACTGGTGAGGCTACTTAACCCGTTGGCCTCCGGCTGCTGGGGAAAGAGCCGGGGACCGGGAGCTGCTCTCCGCGGGCCGAGCGGGTTCTGCTCGGCGCCTCCCGCCCGTCCAAGCTGGAGCCTGCGCGCGGAGGTTAAGCAACCCGGGAGCCGCTCGGGACGACCGCCCCGAGGCTTCGGGGCCCGCCCGCGCGCGCGCGCGCCATGGGGTGGACGGGCTGCACAGCCTTCGGGCGGATGGCGGCCGCGGGCTGGACAGCTCCATCCCTCAGTCCCGGGAACTGTCCGGCGGAGGAAGGTGGAACGGTGCGCTGAATCCGACCGCAAGGCTGGACGCGGAGAGGAGGGCGTGCTCGCGGGCCATTTCTGGTCCGCGGCCGCCACTTATTTGTTTGATGTTACTCTCTGTAAAATGGGAACGTAGAGCACCCGCCCCACCGGTTATGAACTAAAGCGCACTGAGGTCAGCAGAGTGGCCAACTTATAGGAAGATTTGTTTTTCTTAGTCTGTCCTCTGTTTCTTCAGGAGCCCGCTGCCCATTCAGGGTTCTGCCAGCTAAACCACTTCTAACAAAATTTCTGACCAAGGAGGTCACCGGTCTCTAATGGTTTCCCTTCCTCTCCCTCTCAAATCCCCTTCCTCCCTTTATCAATTAAAAAAAAAAAAAAAAGTTGAAAATGTTATAGTCCCTCAGTATTTAAAGTTAAAAATCACAAAGGAATTTGGTGAAGTTTGTATGACAAATGTTTTTTTACTCTGCTAATTACACAATACAATATCTGTACAATAGAATGACTATTCCATATAACTACAGCTCTGTGCTTTATTTATTGTACAGTTATGTCTGTACACATTAGCTGAAAAGAAGACTTGTCATCTTCTCCTTAAAGCTCTTATAAAGAATTCTATCTATCTCGATTTGCAATATTTAGTATTTCAGCCGGGCGGTGGTGGCGCACGCCTTTAATCCCAGCACTCGGGAGGCAGAGGCAGGCGGATCTCTGTGAGTTCGAGACCAACCTGGTCTACAGAGCTAGTTCCAGGACAGGCTCCAAAGCCACAGAGAAACCCTGTCTCGAAAAACAAAACAAAAAAAAATTAGTATTTCACACACCCCCATTATTATTTATTATTCTATAAAGAATATCAATGGGCTGGAGAAATGGTTGTGCTGTTAAAAGCCAAGCTCACCAAAACATCAAAAATACAGTGGGATTTTTTTTTTCTGAGCATCATTAAGCATGCATGCTTGTAATACCAGCACTTGGTTCTGCCAAGCATTTTTTTTAACTTCTTAGACTTCATAATTGCTCATTTTGACATTTCTAGATAGTGAGTGGTAGAAAATGGGAGAAAACTTATTTTATGTAACTTTGGTTGGTTTTGGTTTTTCAAGACAAGATTTCTCTGGGTAATCTTGGCTGTCCTGGAACTCACTCTGTAGACCAGGCTAACCTGGAACTCAGAGAGCTCCCCTGGCCTCTACCTCCCAAGTGCTGTGATTAAAGGCATGCCCAGCTAACATATACAATTTTACTTAGCCTGCATCTTACACTGTTTTCAAGGCATGTGTAACTAGCTCACAACCCAAACTAAGCAACTAAGCAGAAAAGAAAAAAAAACTTAGCACTGCCCAACCCACCTCAAAGCTGGCTTATCCAGAATTGGTTTGGATACGTCCTTAGGCAAAAACAGGTATTGACTGGTGCAACATTACAAAGGAACTATTTGTCATTGCTACCATAGGTACAGAAAGAATTTCTGATGCAACTCAAATAAATACATTAGAGTATTTAAACAAAGTAATGAATCTTAAAGAGAGGAAACCAAAAGCTGGGTATTTTCAATTCCTCCATCCTTGTGAGAACTTCATACTTGTTGATTTGTGCCTAGCATCTAGCCCATAGAGCATGGTCAATATGATTGAGCAATAACCATTGTTTCCCCTAAACCTTTGCCTGACACACCTGTCAGTCAGTAGTTTATCACTATGGAACTCGAAGTCTCCTAGACTTTGGTGACTGCTGTGTGGTTCAGAACGACTGACTATTCCATATAACTACAGCTATGTGCTTTTATTTATTTTTTAAAATTTTCTTATGTGTATAACTGTTTGTCTACATGTATGTCTGTGTACCACATGTGTGTCTGGGACCCACAGAGGCCAGAAGAACTGGAATTACAGATGGCTGTGAGCTGCCATGTGGGTGCTAGGACTCAGACCCCAGTTCCTCTGCAAAAACAACCAGTGCTCTTAACCACCAAGCTATCTCTCCAGGCCTTTTGTGTGTGTGTGTGTGTGTGTGTGTGTGTGTGTGTGTGTGTTTGCATGTTCCACAGTGCTATTTTGTGGAGGTCAAAGAAGAACTTGCTGGAGTGGGTTTTCTCATTTCACCCTTACAGAGTTGCCAGGGATCTAACTCGGGTTTCCAGGCTTATGAGTAAGCGTATTTTTACTCAGTGAGCCATCTCACCTGCTCCTGATTTTTATTTTATGAAGTAGGGTCTTGCATAGCCCAAGCTGGCTGCAAACTTTCAACACAGAGGAGAGTTCCCTTGAATTTTCATCTTTCCTCTTTCATGTCCTGTGCCTGGCTGGATTTTTATTTTGTTTTGGTTGGTTTGTTTGTTTTTATTATGTAGCTGTGACTGACCTGGAACTCAATTTACCAGGCTGGCATCAAACTCACAGAGATCCTTCAAAGTAGTAGGAATAAAGGTCGTGCCACCTGGCATATTTGTTGTTATTGGCTAGAATTCTGTTGCCCAGACTAGCCACACATGTGTATATGTGTGTGTGTTTGTTGAGTTGGGTATACCTGTAATTCCACCATTCAGGAAACTGAGGCAGGAGAACTGAGAATTCAAGGCCAAATGGGCTACATGGCATGACCCTGTCACAGTCAAGCAGTATTTGTAAGAAGTGAGCATTGGAATAAAAACTATCCCAGAAAAAACTAACAAGGGTGCTTACTGTACTGTGTTTGTCCTCATGTGTTGTGTTTTGTGTTTTGAGGAGCTCACACAGGACTTCATGTATACTAGGTGAGGTCTACTCCTGATCTACATCCCCAGTAATATACGGTGTATTAATAATGCTTCCAAGTGTGCATTTCTATGTTACCCTCTTTCAGACAGGCAAAGAAAAAGGGGGCAAACTCTACAGCCTCAGAGGTTTTGTTTGTGGTTTTGGGGGTTGGGAGAGTGGACCAGGGTCTGACCTTTGCCTACTGAGTGCTGGGATGGCATATGCCACTATCTGAAAAGAAAGTGAATTCTTTAAACTTAATAGAAGTTTTTTTTTTTCATTTTTTGATAAAGGGTTTCTCTGTATAGCCCTGGCTGTCTTTGAACTCACTTTGTAGACCAAGCTGACCTCGAACTTCTTCAGAAATCCACCTGCCTCTGCCTCCTGAATGCTTCAATTAAAGGCGTGTGCCTTCACTGCCCGGCTAATAGAAGAATTCTTAAAACTTAATAGAGGCTCATTCCTCATAATATGATGGGTTTTTTAAGATTTGTTTTTGTTTACCTGTTTAGGTATGTGCATTTCAGTGCAGGTAACCTCAGAGGAGAGTTACAGACCCTGTAAACCACTCAGTCTTGTGCTGGAAACTGAACTCTGGTCCTCTTCAAAAACCATAGGTGCTCTTATCCCCCAAGCCATCTCTTCAGTCCTACTGGGTTGTTGCTGTTGTTGTTGTTGGTATTCTTATTATTACTGTTGTTATTATTATTAGGAAAAAAAACAAGATACATTGAGCAAATTCTTCCCCAATTCAAATTATGCCCCTGAGTTTCTCACATTTGAAGAAATTGCAGAGGTCAGCATGTCTGAAAGCAATGGATAAAACTTGTCCCAGGGGGCTGGAGAGATGGCTCAATGGTTAAGAGCATTTCCTGTTCTTCCAAAGGTCCTGAGTTCAATTCCCGGCAACCACATGGTGGCTCACAACCATCTGTAATGAGGTCTGGTGCCCTCTTCTGGCCTGTAGACATACACACAGACAGAATATTGTATGCATAATAAATAAATAAATAAATAAATAAATAAATAAATATTTTTTAAGAATTTGCCCCAGGAAAGCCATTTTCTTGATCATAGTGTCTCCCCCACCAGCTAAGTATATGAGTTTGACCAAAAAAAAAAAAAATCAGGGCCAGGCAGTGGTGGCGCACGCCTGTAATCCCAGCACTCGAGAGGCAGAGGCAGGCGGATCTCTGTGAGTTCGAGACCAGCCTGGTCTACAGAGCTAG